TTACACAAACGTATATATCCATTATAACTATTGCACATCTCCAAAAAAAACGAACAAAAGACGCGAACAGTTAGGGGTCGTTGAGAGAGATTTTACAGAGCCAGTTTAAATCTATTCAAACAGTTTTTAATTTCCTTAACATCAAAAACTATTCATCCTCTTAGATTGACAATAACACTGAAGTTAATTAATGGGCGCTGTTAAAGTGAGAACCGGCGATGATACGATATTTAAAAGTAAGAAAACGTCTGCAAAAAAAAAAACTTACATGTACTCATAAAAATTATCAAGCTTCCTAAAGAGAGCATCGTATTCGTCATTTAGAACAGCGAAAGAACTGCAAAAACCAGTAATTTCGAACTAATAAATAATTATATACTAAATGAAATGAGCTAAATACACGTAAAACATTCGAATAAAAATTTACTTTAGTGAAGGAGGTGTCGTTAGCTGCATACGATATAGTTTAACATGTGCCACGGAAAGTTCCTCCATTTCTTTCCTAGCGTTTCTCATTTTTTCAAGCTGCTCTTCCGACACTGAATAAACTTGATATTGTTCCATTAAAAAAACTTTTATAAAGGAGAATAATACTGCACAGAGCGTCCATAACCGATATTAAAAAAATTATGAGAAGCTTAAAAAGAAATAGTTAACTGTGTAGGTATGATGGAGGCAGAGTCTTACAAGCTTTCATCCTCCCCGATCGAAAATTTTCAAGGAGAGAAATCAATGAATGCTCCATAACTTCAATTTCCGCTGCCGACTCAGATCGCAAAATGGGCGACAAATAAGCCTCGCCGCTGGTTGTGCGCTTTCGAATAGTCGTCCCTCCGCCACCATTTATAGCTTTCTCAGTAACAGCACCAGGATTTACTGGGAAGTGCGGTGAAGAGATGCCGGTGACTTCATACCATTCATCGTCTTCAAATAATGCATAGAGTGTCAGTGAAATGTGACAGCAAAAAAAAATATTTCGATACGCAGAAATTGTCTTGGTTTGACCAACAACCAAAGATAATAATTTAAAAATAGAACTTTAATAGTCATAAGTGACAAAAAAAACCCGTTTTTTTGTCCAGACCACCGGCCTCATTATCACTCGAGATCGGCAAAGTTGTCGGCCGTTTACAAAGAACTGTTTTTGATTCTTCTGGTGGAGACACGTCCTCGACTTCTGGATGGACTGAGACAGAGTTTTTGCTTTTTTGACTGTCCTCTGCCGAAACAGTTTTAACCTGTACTTGAGTCAAACCAATTCCCTCTGGGATCTCACTTCTCCTTAAGAATTACAAGCTTTGACTATGAGAATCAAACCACCAAAAATAACATATCAGCACCATACATTAGTATGCAATTTTACATTACTACGACTCAACTTAGAGAAAGACTATACCTGGTTGCACATATCAGGAGGACAAATCCCAGACAAAATAAACAAATGAAAAAGTAAAACTAAATCTTCACCTGCCCAAAAACGTTGCTGAAAGTTTTGTAAGGCGATGCATCAGAACCGTGAAAAAACAATCAGGAAGTTTTCTACTTTGCAGCAACTTCACCTTCAAATTTAGCCACCAGCACTTCTTCAGCTGTTTCTTTGATTTTTTATGTCTGGAAATTTGAAATTAACTTCGAACCCGATACCTTAAATACACCGAAGCAACGGAAAAAATTTGGTCAATAATAGCTTTTATTGATTTGAAAAATAACCACCTCTGCTAAAAAAATAATAGTTTCCTTTCAAAGGCAAAACAGTTTCTGCTCTGTTAAAAAATGCCTTAAACAATGGCGGAAAAAGTGTTGATTATTCATCAATTATAAATCATATACACAATACTTTAATCATTTACAAAATCATAAACCATCAAATTGCTGCTGTAAATAAGTGCAACGACAAGATGACAAAAAATATTTTGGAACTCATCAGATAATTAAGCATAACTGTTTACAAATTTCTATCTTTCCTCTGTACCGGCACAGCCGAATGAGGAGAACGTAAATCCATTTTAAAATGAAAAACGAAGAGCTTGAAATCCATTAAGGCAGACTTGTGTCAGTCAAAAAACCAATAACAATGCTTTCATTGTTATGTAAAAGTTGAACAGTCCTAACAACCAATTAACCAAATTAGTTCAATCAATATAAACCAATTGCCGCAATGCCAATGCAGTTTTACACATGACACAATACAGATGTGTAAATTTACATAGGCAGCAAAACAAAGTTGCGACGTTGGTTGCCCGTGCAAATTTCAGCAGCTGATTGAGCTGTCCGCAAATATTGAACACTGCGAACGCGTTGCTTCAAACTGCGCTTTAGAGAACCGCCCACGGGTGATGCCATGAAATTGCCGTCTTGCAACATTTACCACTACCACCGCAAAGTAGTCACGACCGGTGATGTAGCTGCTATATGTTCGGATTTTTAGGACTGATTAACAGTAATGCATGTATAAAGTGAAGAAGCTACTTATATTTTACCTAAACTGCTCAACAGCTGAGAACTGCCACGTTAGTGTGTAAAGGTTTTTGTAATTTTCAGAGTTATCCTGAAGTGTTGGCAAGCCATTTCGGATCATTTCTTTAAAATGATCATTCCAACATTGTTTTAACCAGAAATTAGCTCTTTGCAATTCTATGTAAAGTAATCAATCGTCATCTCTTTAGCTGCTTCAGCTTAATAGACTACCAGCAGAGAACGGGAGCAAGAATAAACTAGGGGAATCGACGCTTAATTACCATCGGCTGGTGGAGGCCACGGCGTAACGCCACTGCACGCGGTTTAAGGATCAAACCGATGCAAGTGTTTTGGTGAGCAGGTTGTAGATCAGTCTAAGTTTCATATATTATGCGGGACGTGTATCGGATGATACTACGATAATTGAGCGTCTAAACGGTGAAAAATTGACCAAAATTTGGTATCCTTCTGTGGCCTCCACCATTTGCCGTTTTTTCTCCTTAATTTTCGTTTCATTTAATGTCATTCTTTTTAAATTTGGTGTTCTTCCTCATCATGGCCAAAAACGGCTATTGCAATCTTCATTAGCCAGTTGGCATGTCAACTACGTAATAAGTTGACGACAAGTCCTTTAAATAATGATCAACCAAAAAAAAAATTCATGGATATGACGCCAGGTCCTCCTAGCTATACAAAGAAGAGAAACAAGACCAACAAGTGGTAGCCGCCAGTAGTCTTGCAGAATTGGGCTTGCTACAGTACTTGCATTTGAACAGATTTGGAAGAAAAAAATATTCAAATCAGTGCTTGAGAAAAAAAAAAAATAATTCAATTTTTGACATATTTATTCCACTATAAGCAAAAGGAACCACTTGATGGACAAGTCAATTTATTTGAAACAGTTGAAGAGCTGATGTCAGCTCTTCTCAAAATACTAATATTTGAATTTAGCAACTTTGCACCGTAGTCCACACAGTAGATCCATGCAACATGTAACGGGACTATAAACTTCATAATATAAAACTGAGTGATCAAGTTCAAAATGTCAAAACTGATTGTTCAAAAGTCATCCATGCCTTTCATTCTGCTTGCAATCAGTGGCAGCAGCAGTGACAGTCGCAGCAGCTTCCGAGTAAATTTAGGATTTGCCGATAAAAATTCGGCACTATTTCCTTTGTTCTTTCTTTTACATTGGTTAAACATTCCCAAAACTAAAAAAATCAAAAAATGATTATCTTTAATAGTTCAGGTCTCTTCATTAACAAAGAAGAACAATAAAGGATTTATTTTTTTAAGGAAGATTTATCCCAGAAAGTTTCAGTAATATACTTTTTTTGTTTTTCTATTTAGGCCTAGAAAATAGAAACATTTTTCTCGATGAATAATGAGATTGTTGCTTCCAGCCTCTGTTTATACCACACTTACCACTAACACCACTATCACAACCATCAGTAAATTACAACCATTGTTGTGGTTATTGTTGTGAAGAAAAAACTATTTTTTTTTGCAACATCGATGCATGATTTTACCTATTCCATGTTGCAGACGGTTGATTAATCCGTCATCTATCTCCATTTAGAAGCTCCTCGGTTTTTTCGCTATATTTTTATTAGTTTTTCCATCATTTTGAATGGGTTTTTGCACTGTCGTTAACACTACTTTTCATTTCCTATGTTCTTTATTTTATTTTATTTTTTTTTTTTTGTTCGCTTGGTTTTTTTATAATATGACTTCAATAGCTTTAGAGAACTATTCAGCATTTTTTGACACTATTTAACTACTTTGGTCCACGTAGACAGATACGCAAAAGTGACAGCAGATTCACTACCACCACTACCACCAGTAGTGACAAAAACAATAGCGATGATGAGAAGCAACGAGCTCAATATTCGATTAGTCGTCTTTCTTCTAAATATTCCATTATGGACCACATACTCAGATTTTTAAAGATTGCAACCCGCAATTTTTCTCGCCTTTAAAGAAACTGCCATCATCTACTGGTTCCTGTCGGCAACAATAGCAAACAGGGTAGAGGAGTGGTGGCAAAAACTGCAATTAGGAAAAAAGGCAACGCAGTAATCAGAGTTCGCTTGCCTGTTTTGTTCCTTTCCCTTTTAGCCCTCTCTTTGGACGTAAATAGGTCTGTGGCTGCAAGAGCACAAAATTTTTATAGGGGTTGGAAACCGGGCTAAGAAAAAAAATGAAGAAGCAGAGGGAGAAGCAAGCGGAAAAGAAATGAAGGGAAAAACAGCATTAAAAGTTTAAAGTTACACAAAGATATAAAATTAGAGTTTGAGGATATTCATAAATGCCCAACATATCACCATCACACTTCAAACATCTAAGATTTGAGCTAGGCTAAAAACTAGAAAAAGTCTGAAAAGAATGGAAAAAAGAGTTCAGCAGAAGCTGATCATCCATTCTTCATGGATTACAAGACATTTCCAGGGTACTTTTGAGACTTTTTAAAAGTTTTTTTTTGTCTAGAATCATCCTTTTTTTTTTTCAGTTTTTTAGAAATCTTCAGCTAGGGAATGATCAAAGTTTTTTTTATTATACTGCTAATCTTACCCGTGCACTTCTCTGCTCATTTTTAATATGCATATCTGCTTTACGTCTATATGAGGTTTTTCTGTGCCTTTTGCAATTTAATTGAACTTTTAAACATTTACACTATATCTACTCTAATTTTTTGTTTTTGTTCCATCCTTCTTACAGCTGATTAGCCCTGTTAAAGGATTGTCAAAAATTGATGAACGAAAATAACAGCAAAAAAAAAAAAAAATCAGTATTAGGTAGAGGGACATGTCCCATACCATAATTTTACCCTTACATGATAAGGACAAAATTGGGAACAAGAACGATGAAACGAAAAGTATAATAATGATTAGTGGATGATTAAGAATTATATTACTTTTTCAATTTTGATTAAATTCGGCAATTCTACTAGTATAATTTGTTTCTTCTTTTTTTCGTATTATCTCTAATAAAGGGAGATAAATTGAAAATACTAGATACGATAAGAAATTTTTACCTAGAATAACTCATTTTTACTAGATACGGTGACAAATAATTTCTTTTTCTTTTTTTTACTGTAACTACACTTGCAATAGACGATGGATTTTTCTGAATTCCAAAATTTGTGTCTCTGAGAATGAATTCTAATATCAGTAGTGCCACATAACTTTAGAAGAAAAAAAAGGCAAACTACTGTCACGACTAAGCCATTTCAGCGATAATTTCAATAGCAATATGCGAGAAATCGTACATGTACAGGTTGGTCAGTGTGGTAATCAAATTGGAACAAAGGTAGGAAAATAGACAGTTTATCCATTGTAATAATAGGTGTCAATAGTATTTGACTTAAAATCAAAAACGAAAAGTGCTTTAGTTTTGGGAAGTAATTTCTGATGAACATGGCATTCATCCGGATGGAACCTATCATGGTGAATCAGACTTGCAACTAGAAAGAATCAGTGTCTATTACAATGAAGCTCAAGGTGAACTACTTTTGAGATACAGCTAGGCACCTGAAAGAAATGAAAAATTGCTAAACTGAAATAGCGAGCATTTTTTTTCGCTGAATAATCTTATCGCATTTTTATGTCTTCATCATGAAACACTTTTTTTT